GGGTTTGAACCACCAGCCTTCTGGTTAGCAGTCAAGTGCCTTAGGCACTATGCTACCAGAGCTCCTACCATAAAAGTAGAATTGTATAAAACATAATTCAGGCAACTGGAAGCTCTGGTGGTGCAGTGCTTAAGGCATTTGACTGCTAACCAGAAAGCTCACAGTTCAAACTCACCAGCCGTTCTTCAGAAGGAGGATGGGGAGATCTACTTCATAGTGATACCGCTTCAGAAATCCAAGGAGGGGTCGCTATGAGTCAGATCCGACTCAACGGCAGTGAGTTTGGTTTAGTTCTGAGAGCATTCAGATGCTCCCCCATTATAAAAAAAATAGGCATTCTGGATATGTTGTTTTTGTTTTCCCATCTAGCTACTGAAGAGTGTCCATCTTTAAATGGGATAAATATCTTTAACATAAGTTTGGTTAAAATTCAGGTAATTTCTACATTTGTCATAGCAGAGTGTTTGTCTTGACTCTTGTTTTACAGCCAAAGATTTAAATATCAAAAATTCAACTTCAACTCAACATAATTTATATTATAAGTTAAATCTTAAGTATATTATAATTTGTAGAAAAGACCTAGTCAACCCTCATTGTGCTTAGAATCATGTGGAGAGCATTTTGAAAGAGCCTGGGCCCTATTCTCAGAGGTTATATTTCTTTTGGTCAGTAATAGGACTCAGGCTTTGATACTTAAAAAACAATGCAGGTCCTTCTAATGTGCAGCCAGGGTTTGGTACCACTGATTGGGTTCCACTGCCTCATTTTATAGAAGAAGCTACTCCAGAGTTCATAGAGGTTGTGCCAGGCCCAAGGATATGCACCCATTCAGTAGGAAGCTGGACCAGAACCCAGTTCTGTCTTTGCAATTCTGTACTTCCCCTGTATCATGCTGTGTTTTCTAATCAGGTTTCTATAAAGGAATAGGTAGTATTTTTTGTATTTTTGTATAGGTGTAGTATGTTTTGTGGAGCATATGACCCCTTGTCCTAGAGGCAGGAGGGAGACTAACATGTATTAGAAGCATTGCTGCATTTATCATCAAGATGAGTAGCCTGCTAATGAAACTACATCATTGGGGTAAATTCCTCTCCTGAGCAATAAATAAGGATCTGATTGCTTCAAGACTCATTCAGAAAGCTAGCTTAGATTTCAGCTGCCTGGATATAAAAAATGCAGCATTTAAAAATTTTTGTTCACAGCCTTAAATTTGAATAGACATTTGCAGCATAAGAGCTCAAGCCTTCTGTTTCTCTAAAAACTTAACATAATAGATGTTTAAAAATTTTTTATATAAAGGATAGGAAATGTTGTATGACATTCAAGATTTTGCCATAAATTGATTTTAGTTCAGTATTGAGATGCTACCACAAGTTAAATGATTTAGATTAATTTATTAAAAATTAAGCTTGCTCCTGATGATTTTAGACTGTCTTCATGCTGAATAAATTTTAGTTTTCTTCAAATTATCATCTTTCTATTTCTGATCCCCCTAGTCACTTTAACTTGAATTTTATTGAGAGATATGGAGATAGCGAACTAAATACTCTGCTTGGAGATTTTAAGTGGTTATAGTAACATTGGACCATCTTTGACACTGTTGGTCAGTTCCCTCTGTAACCTTTTCCAGTTTTATTCATGGACTATGTCAAAAAGGTTTCTTTCATGAGTAGATTTTGAACCCAGGTTCAAGGTGAGTTCAGAATATACTCAAATTTATTCAATCCTTTTTTTTTTTCCTTAAATACAGGGTTGTACATATTTTAATAATTTTCTTATGTATCTGGTGTTTAATGCTGACAGGATTCCAGTCAATGGAGAGGTTTCATTGCAAGTAGCTGCAGGTGTGTTTCATGGTAGAGATAAAAGTTTTCAGTGAAGCAGACTTTTTCTTTTTTAAAAAATTACATCCTAGTAAATGACTAATTTGGATGTTGATTTTATGGGGCAGTAGGGTATGCTTTTTGTATGTTATGTTGTTACTGTTAAGTCAGTATTTTGAGTTTTAAAGGTAAAAATATCAGCTATCAAATCTAAACGAAACAAGATTTTAAGGATTTGAAAATGAGTTCTCAAAGTTTGTTTTAGTGGCTTGGTTTTTACAGAGTATGAGTAAACTTTAAAGCGCCTCATTAGCATGTTAAGATGTATGTATTTGTAATATCATTGTTTCATTAAAAAATATTCATTCCCTGTGGTACATTTCTATTTGGGGACTGGTATTTGGGCCTCCCCTCAAAACCAGGTTAATGACGACTCAGCTTTTGTGTTTTGGTTTTCCTAGAAAATACAAAATATAATTAATGCATTTCTCATTTGAGCATCTATTCTGTACTAGGAATCATGCTAGGACAGGATCTTTGTGCTTAAACATTATATAGTTTAGAAGCATTTATAATAAAGAAATATGTGTAGTGGCTTCAATTTAAAATTAGTGAGTTTAAAAAATTACCTATTTGGACTTGAAATAATAAACTCTGTCACTCTCCTTGTTTGTATATATTTGTGAGCAAGTTTGTTAAACTTCTTACCAGTTTTGGTTCATAACAGTACAACTGATTCTCTGGAAAATTTGCAGGAAAAGATAAATAAGACATACATGTTATTTATTTTGCCTTCACAGCAAGCTATAGTCAGCAGACTGGGCCCCAGCAACCTCAGCAGTTCCAGGGATATGGTCAGCAACCAGCTTCCCAGGCACCAGCTCCTGCCTTTTCTGGTCAGCCTCAACAACTACCTGCTCAACCTCCACAGCAGTATCCTCCACAGCCGAGCAGTTATCCTCCACAGACTTATACTACTCAAACTTCTCAGCCTACTAATTACACTGTGGCCCCTGCCTCACAACCTGGAATGGCTCCTAGCCAACCTGGGGCCTATCAACCAAGACCAGGTTTTACTCCACCTCCTGGAAGTACCATGACCCCTCCTCCTAGTGGGCCTAACCCATATGCACGTAATCGTCCTCCTTTTGGTCAGGGCTATACCCAGCCTGGACCTGGTTATCGATAAGGGGGCTCAGCTACACTGATAAATGCACCTGTTTGCCTCCTGAAAGACTCCAATACTACTACTATTTTATTTTAATTTGTATTGAAGTTCAGAAATTTAAAAAGCAGAGCATTTTTTATGATATCATTGTTGCTGTTCATTGAAAATATAATTTGCTGGGACACAAAAAAGACCAAAATGAAAATTTTCTTTTCTCCCCCTGCTTTAAAACGTAGCAGCTTCCTAATTATTTTATTATTTTGGAACACTACTCTTTAAATCTGTGTAAAATGATTGACTTTCTAGCTTACCTTGTTCAAAGGATATTAAAAATGATAGGTTTAGCCATCTGATTTGGCTTTTTTAATATTAACATGATGTACTAAAGTAGATCCCTTTGAGAAGACAACTAGGTATTATATATAAAATGTAACATTGATAGGTTAATAAAGATGATTGAATCCATTAGTCTTCTTGTAATTTAATTTAGTCATTAACATTATAGATATATGACAAACAAGAAACAGTCATATTTTTTCAGAAATCCTTTTTGGTGTTTGTATGGCCTTAAAGTATAAATCTTTAAATGAAGTATAAACAGTTTTCTATTCAGAGAAACATGGTGTTGTTTTCCCTGACTCAGAGAACTTTTTAACAATCAATCAATCAATCAGTCATTGGTTTTAAAAAATGTATCACTTTTAAGTAGATTTCACAGGAAGAAAGAAAGATAGGTTGTCTTAGGATATGAACACAATAGCTAGCAAGGGAGTTTTGGAAGACCTGGAATAATTTTGATTTTCCTTTTTATGGAGGTGATGGAAAAGTATAAATAAGTTAAGTGCTGATGAACCGATCAGAAATGAAGTATTCAGTCGTCTTATTCAGTCTCTTTAGTGCAGAGTTTGATTAATTGTTTGTTTGAAAAATATATAGCATTGCTAAAAATGAAACATGTTGAAAGTTCAACACACACTGGAAAGGGCTTTTCAGAGTGAAGGCTATAATGCAACATCCCATCTCCCTCCCCAGATGAAGGAAAACAACAGTACTTTTTAACAAAAATGAGTTAGGTTTTTATTACCACTTCTATTAAACAGAAAACATCTTTTTCATTCATTCATAGGGGCCTTATATATACATATATACTAAAGTGTAAAATAGTAGGGAGCTCATAATGCATTACCTTTATGTGCTCAGACCTCACATTCAGTCTCTGCATACAGCTTGATTATATCAGATTAAAAACATGAGGAACACAAAAAAGTACACTTGGATATTACAACATATATCTGGGTAGAGAAAGAACAAAATGGATCTTTTGAAACTGAGTATATCAAGTTCTCAATTCCATTTTCAAATAAAATGAAATCATTTCAAACAAATTCTTTTCAATAATTTGCGAACATTTAAAGATGTATATTAGAATGTTTTCTTAAGTACTTCAGAAAAGCAATTCAGCTGTTGCAAAAAAAATTGAAGTTTAAATATACATGAATATTAGGACTTTCCCACCCCCAGATATATATGCTGAAGATAATTTGATCCAATAAGTTAAACTAACTAGAGAATTATGGAAGTAACTCACCGTAGAAAAGAGTGTATGTTAATAAAAATATCTTTCAAAAGTATATTAAAGTTTTTTTGATGTTAATTTTGTCATAAAAGTATCTCAAAACATTACAACAGTGATAAATATACAAATGATCTCTTAAAAAAACATGAATAGGGAGCCAGCTTCCCCAAAAATGTTATTCTGTTAATACCTTGCTTTCTTAAAATGACTTTAAAAAAACCTGATAAATATTTTCAGCAGTCTTTTCTAATAATAAACATCTAGTATTGCTATTAATTAAACTTTAAACTTTTATACATAGTAAACAAAACAGCTTTAAATGAATGTGACAAATAGCATAATGTCATCTTTATTTTTCTTTTTTTTGCCATGATGAAATAAAAGGCACTTGACAGCATGGTTGCAGCATTTACCATTTCCCAGGTATTGTCATTCCACATTCATACCACTGGACATAATTTATGTGGGTGTGACCACCTATTTTTCCAAACTGGACAGGTTCCTGACGAACTGCTCTGAAATAGCCTAAGAGGGGAAATAATTTAATTTTAATATTTACTACATTATACTTTTACCTCACTGGTTATGTATATAGACCAACGTGTGTCATTGAGTGACTGAGGATGACTTTGGGTGAAGCAGTATATTTAAGAAAATAGCAACAGAAGCCTTGGTGTCTTTCCTGAGGCAGTAATGGCTGGCTAGAATTGGGCACGTGAAGAAAGTAGACGTGCTTACCAAGGTAGGATGGGATAGTTGGCGTTCTGGGGTGTTTTCTTCTCTTTTTTTGGAATGTCACTGACCACACTCAGTAGAGCTCTCCCTGTCTTACCTGAAAGTGTTCTTTCTGCATATTAAAGACTATAGGGGTGTCTATGAAGACCTGACCTTCATAAGGGTGTTACTAGAACATTAGGAATACAAAAGTTAGGGTAGTTATAAGATGGTTTAACTTGTAAGTCTTAATTGCTCTTAGTGAAATCATCTTTATATGATTAAAAATTTCACTGAAATGTTACAGAGATAGACAAAATTCATAGTATTTTATATTCCAGTTCCTATGATTCAGCAGTTCCAACTGCCCATTAATAGGTTGACAGATTTTACTGACTAATCTTTTAGTATGGTTGATACTTTTTAAGTGCATGTGTGCAAAATGTTGCTGAAAAATCTGTAATCATATGTATTAAATCATTACAAAGACCCGCTTTGTAATTCCTGAGTAATATGGACAATTTATCCTTTACTATACTGTCTTTTTCAGTTCATTAAATAGCTTAGTAGTAATATGTCTTTAGCAAGTTACAGAGGTTATTCATTTGTCAATAGAATTTTTCTAATTTAATTGTATCAGTATAAAATTAGAAGGTAAACTTTTTTCCCATTTATGGTAGTAAAGGTTTCTTTTTTTGAGAGACAGACAATAAAATAATGCAGATGATGCTCAGTATGACAGAAACCATAAAGGTGATACATGAATGATTTGCGTAAGACGGCTCTTTTGCAAATTCAGATTTCCTTGAAGTAGACTATTTATGTGTGTCTCTGTATAGTTTCGTTTTGGTCTAAGGAATGGAGCTGTAAGGACTGTAAGTTAAGAAACTTGTATTAAAGTCTTAATTTTTTCTAGTCAGACAATTAGAGCAGTAGTACTGTAAACTTAATTTTAAATCGGTTGCTTTCCTTTCTGGGTTAATCTGCAAAATCCTCTTAGGGAGGAGGCTCAGAAAACATACCTTCTTTGGTGGGTAACTGATCAGAGGTGAGTTGCTGTCCAGTGCGTCCATCTAAAAATGAATCTACGAACTGGCAATGATCTTCTCCATAACCCCTCAGATCACCTATGTTATAAAACTTTCCTGAAGAACCAGAGATTTAAAAGGATGATGAAGTGTTACATTCTTTGACACGTGGCAATTCTAGCATAATTAAATCATTTCAAATAATCAGTCTCCTCTTCCATCCCATGCCCACTCCCCCCAATCCCTAACGTTCAAGTCAACAGTGTCCCTTGCCTGAACTACTGGAATAGTCTCCCAGCTGTTCACCCTGCTTTTACTCTTGCCACCCCTTCTGCTCTTCCTGGCAGAGGTTAGTGATCTTTTAAAAAATGCAAGTCAAAGTTATTTTCTCCATAAATCTCTCCAGTAGTTTCCCATTATACTTAAAATTCAGAGTCCTTACCAGTTCTAAAGCCCCCGTGGTTTCATACCTGTCTGCTTGCCCATCCCCATCACATACCAAACCCCAGCCTCACTAGAGGAACAGATGTGTTTTGCCTCAGACCTTTACTTTATCTGCCCTCTACTTCTGATGCTCTATCCCTAGAACTTTGCAAGACTGGTTCCTTTGAATGATTTTCTTAGCACAAACTCGATGGCGTGAGTTTGGTTTTTTGGTTTGGAGTCTCTGGCGGGTAGAAAATCTTAAGGTTGTCATAGTCTATCCATTGAATATTATTAGAAACACATTTTATTATCAATAGGCTTTTCACCCTTGAATGGCTGTAACAAAATTGAGCTTGGATGTGTTAGTACCCGTTCATTCAAGTTTCCTATGATAGCACTGTTTAAATTGCATTTTCCTTATTTACCTTCTAATAGCATGTCTCAAATCCTTGTTTTCTAGTCTGATAAGTATTCCAGTAACATCTTAAGAGGAAATTACTTGTATTTATTTACATCACACTTTAATACTTGGAACTCTCCTTAGGAAAAGCCAAATTATAGTGTGCTACAAAACATTCCCCTGAAGGAAAGGCTCAAAAGAGGCCTAGCAGCCTTGCTTACCTGTGAGGGAGTCGCTCAGATAAATCTTGTACCTGAGAGAGTTGCATAGCTGCACTCCTACGAACTTTTTATACCATGTCCTTTTGACATACTGTTTGCCCTGACATTCTGAGTAAGAGTCTGAATTAAAGGGTCTCTCAGTCCAGATGGCATCTCTTCCTGCTATAAAAGGAAAACACATGACTTGAGTTTAGTATTTGCCTCTTGGAAAAAATGAAGCACTTTCCTAAAAACTTTAAAGAAGCAGTTGCAAATTTCATTTAAACTTACTGGTGGTACCTGATTTTCTCTAGTGCCAAATACGGGGTCCAAAGATACAAAGATTTAAACAAGCAAACCTAAATTAAATTCCTGTCAATAGTGTGATGTCAGAGCAGTGTGTAGGTGTTTAATAGCCTCTGCAGTGCTATGGGTAGATGGCATTCTTAAGCAAATTTACATATTTTTTGAAGCATATTACAAAAGCTAAACAGCTGTTTTAATGTGACTTGTTACTAAAAGTGGGAATGAAGGATAAATTATATCTTGATTTAATTATTAAACAGCATTTGTCCTAGCCTGGTACATTAATGACCTAGAAACCTTATGGGGGAGTTCTACTCTGTCCTGTAGGGTCACTATGAGTCACAAACAACTCATTGGCAGTGTGTATGGTACATTAATGAAGGCAGGTTTCAAAATACCCAGCTTGTTCCCAGAACATGTTTAGGTAAACATTCACACCTGATTAATATTCTAAGAGAAACTTGAAAAAAGTGAAATCCTAACCAAATTTCTGCCATGCCTGTTGAATTAGTTTAGAAAAGCATGTCTGTTTTCCCGCTTAGACAGGGTACTCACCTGAAACTGGCTCGCTCACTCTAGGGTCCGCTGAGGAGGAATAGTAAACAGAGTGAGAAAGTATTAGGTCAGTAACTCCCAGTGACCCAGTAGCATGGTGAAAAACATGAGCAGTTGCAGGTGTTAAAAAATCCTAACTGCAAAATGACACATTTCTTGCTAAAGACCAAACTTGAAAGTTTGGTTTTGGAAATCATTCTCTGTTGAAGAATCTCCATTCCCCTAGGTACTCAGCTGTATGTGATGCATGTGATTTGAGTATTTAAAAGGGGTCTTTGTCACTGTTTCAGCCTTCACATCAATTTTAAAACCTTTTGTCTTTTAGCTTCATTCAAAAACGTTTGGTAAACTTACTAAGATACCATGAACTGCAGTTGGTGTAAGAATTATGCAAATAATGCTGTGTGTGCTTGCAAGGTCAGATCACAAAATTTCACAGCTGAGCATTAAAAAACTATCAAGAATTTGTTTTCTGGATGTGCTGTGGTTCAGCAGCCAGAAGAAGTACAACTGGAAGGCTCCTTAGAAGCGAGAATGGCCAGACTTCCACACACATACTTTGGTCATGTTGTCAGAAGGGACCAGTCCTTGGAGAAGGATGTCACGGTTGGGAAAGTAGAGGGTCAATGGAAAAGGGGAAGGCCCTCAAAAGGATGAATTGATGTAGTGGCTGCAACGATGGGGTCGAACATAGAAAGGACTGTGAGAACGGTGCAGGACTGGGCAGTGTTTTGCTCTGTTGTACGTAGGGTTGCTGTGAGGTGGAGCCAACTCAGCAGCACCTGACAACAACGTGGTTCAGCATGCTTGATTCGTTCGTTCAGGCATAGAAGGGAACCCTCATTCACTCGATTTTTGAGTATAGTATATGCCTTTTTTTTTTTTTCCTTTTTCACTGATAAGGTCTGATTATCAGTGACAAGATAAATGAAAAGTGTAAGTAGTATTTCCTCAAGAGTACCTTCAATTTGACTTTTTTCATGGATGATTTTAGAAATTCAAGAAATTAATTAAGTACACATATTATTTAGCTGGGTTTCAAACAATTTTCAAAACATTGCTACAGTGTGCCCATTTCCGTACTTGTGGGGAATTACTGTTGATGTGATTACCTGATTCGGTACTGAATGCCACTGTATTGCTGGCTGGGCCTTCACCAAGTGGGTTTTTGGGTTTCACCTGGAATTCATAGCTGTTTAGGGGGGAAATACGAATAATTGTAACATATTCGTAAGGGTTAGGAAGCAACATACTGATACCTCTCTGGATTCTGTTTTGAAATAATAATGACACTTAGATATCAGTGTAGAGCAAGGACATTTTAATACATTCAAGGACTCATAAATATTATCTTCTATAACTTTTTCTCATGACATATGTCACTAGAAATGTCAAAATGAGATAATAAAGATATGGGGTATGGGAATTACAAAATCTAACACAGTAGAGGAGCAAAAGATGATGGTGAGATGTGGACATAAATAAATAAATACATGGAACAAATAGATGAGTATTTGACCACTTTGAAGAATCAGCTAGAAATACAGATTTAATTTAGCAGAAGAAATAGTTAAATAATTGAAAATGGTTGCTTCTAGGAAACAGAATGTAGGAATAGAGAGGAGAGTTAAAACCATGTATGTGTACTTCTGGAAAAATAGAAATTTAATTTTAAAAGACTTTTATAAACCCTATTACATCAAAACAAGTATCTGAATGGAGTACAGTCTGGGTAACAACTGCATCAAGCCTCTGGACCCCACAGAGGACACACCAGGTAAGTAACACTCCTTCCAGATGCCAGGCCTGGTTCTGCCTGGGTAGATCATGTGTACCAACAAAAACAATCCTTTTGCACATTCTTATTAGGAGGCAACCTGTTGCAGTGGTGAAGAACGTGGACTTTGCAGTCAGAAAGATACAGATTCACACCTGCACTCAATATTTACCATGTGACTTAAGGTAAGTTACCTATAACTTCTTTGAACCTCACTTTCTTCATATATAAAATGAGGATAGTAATGGTTTTGGTGAGGATTAAATGAGATAGCACACGTAAAAGCAAGGAGCCTGGCACATAGTAACTGAAATAAAACATCTGAACAAAAGATATCAAAGGGTGGCTTGAGAAGATAAAATATGAAATGTGCAAACATCTATAGTTAGAAAACCAAAAGGGAAGAACATGCTTAGCATATCACAGGCTGAAAATTCAAGCCTAGAGTTACACTATTGAAAGATTCTACAGGCAAAATATTGAACAATGAAAGAAGCATCAAAAGAAAATGGAATGTACAGTCACTGTACCAAAAAGAATTAATCTTCATTCAACCATTTCAGGACGTAGCATATGATCAAGAACCAATGGTATTGAAGAAATCCAAGGTGCACTGAAGGAAATGACAAGAAACAAGGCTCCAGCAACTGGCTGAAATGTTTCAATAAACAGATGCACTGCTGGAAGCGCTCACCCCTGTATGACAAGAAATTTGGAAGACAGCAACCTGACCAACTGACTGGAAGAGATCCATATCTGTGCCCATTCCAAAGAAAGATGACAGAATGTGGAAATTATTGAACAATATCATTAATATCACACACAAGTAAAATTTTGCTAAGGATAATTCAAAAAACACTTGCAGCAACTATTGGTCTCTTCTTGTCTGGAGCAAAGAAGAGTGAAGAAAATCAAAGTCATTGGAAACAATTAGTCCAAAGGTAAGATGGACCACGAGGACTTCAGCCTTCACAACCCTGAGATCAGAAGAGCTAGACGGTGCCTGGACAATGCCAACTGCTCGGAAAGGGATCAAAACAGGAAATTCTG